AGCGAAGCTTTGTACTCATACGTGAAAGATAAAGTGTATGCATTGTAATTGAAGGCGTTTCACATGCGAACTCTTCATCCATTACATGAGTGCGCAATGCCGATGTCGCCACCCTCGAAGCAGTCGAAGAACTAGTCGCACAGTCGCACAGTGCATCGAGTCAATAGGAGAGGTCGGGCATGATTTAAAAACTTTAAAAGCGTATACCTCCATGAATATGAAATGTTGATGTTGTAAAAGTAGTTTCATTGGTTTGCTCGTAAAATTTACTATCAAGAACACCCCTTAAAATTAAAATTGTGACGAGATAAACGCAAAATTGTACAATTTTTGTCAAAAATTTCATGTCCGATTTCTTCCGAAGACTCGTTCCACTGTGAGTCGGTGCGTGGATATATATCTTAACGATCTATCTATCGTCGAGGTATCTCATTGCATTGATTGGGTAGCTACCGCTACTTTCACAATACATGTGTGCATTTTAATTGATAGGGATTGACTTTTAATATTACTTGACTCCTGATAATTGAAAATTCGTGGTAACTGACAGTCTCAAAATGCAATTCGCCTAAAATTGACGCTAACGCAAAAAAACACGAAAATATGGTTTTTGATGTTGCGACTTTCATGTTAAAAATTTTTAATTTTAAAAAGGATCTATATAATCGGAATTTGTATCCAGAGCACGTTTGGTTTGCATAATCATTGTCAAAAATACTCTTGTTATATTTCATGCAGAAATGTTTGCGATCATAATTTCAAAATATAAAAAAATATATATTTACGAACTTTAGAGTGAGAACACTGTAATTTAAATGATTTTTTTGTCCTCCGGGTTCCACCACGCAATTTACACGAGTACAACTTGCTACCTACCTGTATTGGAGAGGAGATGACCGAAATATCGGTTTCAAACACTGTGAGCGTAGGAATCCTAACTTGAGGAAAGGTCCCAAGACAACGAGCCTATGTTGATGTGAATATCCGTTGATTTGTTAAGGGAGGTCAACACTTGCGTAAACTCATTTTAAACTAAAATAAAGAGCCTTCATGATCAGTCCTGCTTTAATCTGCAGGCTGTACCCGTGTTAATCTTGGGAATTTTTGGAGCAAGGAAATGACACATTGTGTCTTATTCCCTTATCAGACTAAATGGTATAAAATTAGAGCGTGTGAGAAGAAAATTACCTTTAATTCAAACCAAGACGAGATAAGTTTTCCAAAAATCTTTGTCAGATGCTTCATCCTGTTTCTGACGAAAACACAAAGTCTCGGCTATCAATTTCCTCAGCTTTTTATATTTTTTTTCTCGCGGTCGGATAAGTGTTTCTGAGCAATTACATAAAGTTGCCTTGGTTACCTTTTCATACGGCAGGTTTTCAGGTTCTTTTTCCGTCTCCGTTCATTGCAAAGGTTTGCAAAAAAATTTGCAACACTTACGGGAAGATGAAGAACCACGCACGTTCGTCTACAACTTGTTATCAAAAAGTAGAGTCCCTTTATACCCAGAGTTAAGACAACTCACTTTTGGTTGGGCTGAAAGTGGCCTAAAAAAAAATCCAATTCTGATTGGTTCTCGCTCATGGAGGCCGAAACGAGTGCACCAAGATGGCGGTACCTCGAATGTGAACAAGAATAATGAAAATATTACCTAATTGTGGTTTATCAAGAGTAAATTGTTATTTCCATCGGTCCAAAATGAAAATAGATTAAGAAATTATTCACAAACCAATCTCATTTTCTTTTTAATTAATCAATTTGTTGATGTTGTTGTTTTTGTTTGACAGACATCGCAGGATTCCTGATCCTTATCCCTCAATATCGTTCGTTTGGGTGCATTCGTTTCGGCCTCCATGGCCAGCCAAGGACGGCTGCCAGTCAGCTGATAATCGAGTTGTCTTAACTCTGGGTATAAATAGAGTACCTGTATAGCGAGAGTATGGACAGATGTGAAACTCCGAAAATCCATCAGGCCTTCACCGATGCTTCTGCGAATAAAGTTAGGGCCCAGAAATGCAGCCAACCTATGAATTTCAATTATCCAGATATCCAAATTATCCAATTATCAATATTTACTAATACTATTGTTACGAACCGTCGTTTATTAAGCACGTGTTTGACTCAGTTTTTGCATAAATTTACTCAATTTTGCGGAAGAACGCTCATATATGTACATTCTTGGCCATCTTGGTTAGAATTGGAACCTGCAGACTGGCAGTGAAATTTTGTGCGTTAGAAGTTGGTTAGAAGGGTGGCTGCACTTTTGGGCCCTAAGCCCTCCATGAAGCGATCTGTCCATACTCTCGCTATATAGGTACTCTAGGTATAAAAGGACTCTATCAAAAAGCACGAATGTAAACAAGGCGAAACATCAACTCCTATTGGTTCCCGCCAATTTAGTGCCGCGCTTTGCAAAATATTCAAATTGACGCGCCAATTGTCAAATAAGCGGGGAACTCTCCGGTTGCGCGCTACATAAAAATCGACCCCGCAACAGATTTTTTCCTCGATTCCTTTTAAGTCATTTGAGGGCAGGGACCGCGGAGTTACTTATAGAATTGACCCCAATAAGGAATCCNCCCCCCCCCCCCGTTCCCACCAGTCTTTAGGAGAAGGGGATGGGGAGCCAGTGGTCATGCTCCTTAAAGTCGGGACTTCCTATCGAAGGGGAGGGGGAGGCAACTGGTGTCTTACATATATTTCAATGATTGAAATTTTGCAAGAATCGATGATAGACATACAACAATGGTCTAAAATACTGAATGCAGCATTATTATCTAAGTGGAATTTGAAGTTGAGCAATATTAATTGCAATCGCATGGTGATAACTACAGACGTCTACTAATTTATCTAATAACAAAAACATATGTATTTTGACAAATATTATAAAAAAACACGTGTCCTCATTATATTATACATCTACGAGGAACACATCATAAAGCACAGCACAATTTACAATTAAAGTTTCACATCTTATTATATCAATACATTATTGGATATTTACAAGTTTTTCCTCCGATTTAATTTTTTGTGTACTTCTTTGTACACGTGCGTTTTGAAAAGTATTGATGACTGGTAGTCTAAAAATCTGTATGCCTCCGATTACAACTTTTAACGATATGCGCTCATGTCCTATTTTTTAAATTAACTAATTAATAGTCTTTCTTATGTTCTTCTGTGCGCATGTTTGGTCATTCAAAAGTAATCGAAGAAAACTTCAATGAGATATTTTGGTTATTTTATTCCTAAACGTGAGAGACATCTTGGCATGTTGCAATGGTCATACGCATTCTCCGGCTGCACCCATTAATATTGTACATACATTTTTTAGACAAAATTCAAACATACTTTAAGAAGTAAGAATCAGGCCAAAATTCTGTACAAAACAACAGGCTCGGGTCATGAAGTAAGGTGGAATTGGAGGCTGGAGGGCAATATCCTCGTAAAAATTGGCAGTAGAATCTGTGTTCCAAAATATCATAGACCTACGGTCGGCTGTAAGATTTCCAATAGCTTCCATAGCCGGCAACACAATTTCTTAAAGCCTTTTATAGCCGATGACGATTAGGTAAGCAACTCACAGCCAGGCTTTAAAGTGTATGCTAAACGTCACTAATTACGGATGCTAGGACTTAAGGAGTTTTTGGACCACTGCTCTCTTTTTGGGCCGTAGTATCTTGATTTATTTTCGAGGAAAGCTCCGTACTTTTGATGGATCCCTGCTATTCCTAATATATTAGAGCGCCTTCAGTTTCGTATGATACTGTGCAATACCTCTGGTGTGAAATAGTTGCTTCAAGCGCCGTGGCAGGCGGGCAGCCAGCGCGAAACGTGCATTGGCGCCTACAAACCTAACAGGGATACTTCACGCGTTGCGCAATGCGTGAAGTATCCCTGTTCGGTTTGTAGGCGCCAGTGCGTCGCCGCTCCGCTTTGTGTTGTTAGGCTCTAATATTCAATCTGGCGGAGTCAGCGTTATTCAACTCATGATTTTGAAATGTTTGCACATCCTGAATGGATTATTCTCATTTTAATTGATGAAAGAAAATATATACTAAAGGAAAATATAACGTGCGTTTTGTAAATATTAAGGTGGTTCCGTATCAAACTTAATGATTTCCAAAGCACACGAATTTCTACACAATTTCTTATAGCCTTTTATAATCGATGGCGAAAAAGCAACAGCCAGGCGATAAAGTGTAAAGCCCGGCTATAGGAACTATAGCCCGGCTGCATAAGTTTTTATCGCTTCGTATAGCCCAGCCGTATGATTTTCTCCGCATTCTACAGCCAGCTATATGATTTTCTGTAGCCTTCTTTAGCCGGCTATAAGAATTCCTATGGTATTTTAAAACGCAGCTCTTATCGCCAATTTTTACCAGGGTTTCGATTACTTGAAAATTCTGAATCAGAATTCAAGCTAAGTTTCCCGCTATTTGTGATATGCTGAATCTGATGAAACATCCGAATTTCATTTGAATTTTGTTTGCGTCATTAGGCTTTGTGTAATTTTTGACTTGCGTGAGTATTTGTAGTTATGTATCATCCACCTGCGTCAGTCACCAATACATATCAGCGCTCCTCTGGCGTAAGGGCGTATCTCGATTTCCGCATGAGCCGCAGAAAGCATGGATTTGTATGGAAAACAGGGCTCATACGTACATTGAGATACGCCCTTACGTCAGAGGAGCGACGATATAGGCTATGGGCCTAAGTGCATTTTTTGCTGCTCAGAATCATCACCAAGAGATGCAACCACTCTAAATGGTTGCCCTTGATGAGTCATCGATAAAACGAGAGGGGAAAAGACTAAGCAGCCTATCCACTGACGCCAGTGAATAATGTCAAACGCAATTTGTGTTTCTTTTTTAAGGAGCGATAGCTCTGTTGGTAGAAACTTTGATGCATAGGCAGACTATTAATTATTACATTTTTAATTTTTTTTATTTTTCTCTGTTTTGTAATCTATCTCTGACGTGCCCTCAAAGGGTCTTCTTTACCGGAAAATGTAGCAATAAATTTGTAACAAAATTTCAATATTTTTACATCATCATTTGGTCAACGAATGCCTATTTCAAACGATCTGACGATCAGGCACCGGCAATTTAAAAAAAATGAAAAGAAATTGTAACTCATTTAAATACTGCAATACATTTCAATTAAATGAGCCCCTTCGATTAGTGGATAGGCAACATACACAATCTGCTAATGCTGTAGCAATAATTTGATCAGGTATAGCAATTTATCGCAGCCCAGCACGCTCCTTTAGCACGCTTAACCGATCAATTTGATGTATTTATAATTAAAGGAACTATGTCGCATGCAAACCCTATACACATAGTCCCTTTTAGCATAAATACGTCCAATTAAGCGAAAAGTATGGATTGGATAGCTAGGTCAGCGTGGTGTCTTATAATATTGAACAGGAAGACATACAGAATCCATTTTCGAATGGCTTCTATATTTTGCGTTCCCAGGGTGTCAAAACGAGAAGAAAAATGACATTTTCATCGGTCGGAAAAATTACAAACTAGAAAGAAGCAGACTAGAAAATTAGGGGCATGACTGAGAACTAACGCATTCAAAGAGAGAATGTATTAAAGGAATCTGGGAATGAGTTGAACAAAACATTACGGAAACGTCACTAACCGTAAAATATTTCTGGTCATAAGTGATGTCCAGGACTTGAGGTGTCTCAACTTTCCCATAAATGAACGTATTTTTGTTAAACGGAACCAGAGAGCTGGGAAAGATAGGATGTACTCGTGAAGATCTGCATAAGAAATAATGCAAAAGTAGGCGTAATTCCTGTTGGGGAAATGGAAAAGCGAGATTTTTCATTCTGCTGAACTAAACTAAGCGCCATAACTGCACGTGTACTCACGATCCGTAGGCATATGCCAACACAGTTGTGGACAAGGCTCATGGGTTAAAGGACCCCGTCCAGTGGCGTGGCGTGAAATGCGATGTATCGATTGTTATGCCATTTAAACTTATGGTAAAGAATCGATTATTAAGGTGTTCGCTGCAAACACCCTGTCCATCGATCCTTTTCCATAGGTTTAAATGCATAAAAATCGATATATCGCAACTCACGCCACGCCGCTGACCCCGTCCCCGATTCCGAACCCGTTGCCGCTGACGTCACTGGCGCTTCATAATCCCATTCATTCCTACGGCTCTCGACTAACGAGCACACCCCTCTTTTCCCACCTGTCTCTGGTTTCGTTCAGCAAAAATAAGTCCAAATAGATTCTAGGTCAGCATCCGAAAATCTTCAACAACCAAGACCCTTTACAATGTCATCAAGCGCCTTGATCACAGTGACGGGGTGTGCGAAGGAACTATTCAGGTACAAAGGGTGGTAGTTCAACCCTTTCCACTTGGCCATGAGGCGGAAATGAGGCCGTCTGTAGCTGGGACTCAAGATCTCAAGAACCGACGTGTTGGGGAGAGCGGATATGATGTGCGACAAGCCGGCCCCATGAGCACCCACAATGATGGTGGAATGTTGGATGATCTCGATTTGATCTTCCATGTGCATATGAGCGAAGAGTCCGTTGACCACGTTCAATTTGCAGCCGGAATAATTGGCGGCCCAGCTCTTCACGGACGTGAAAATTTGCTTTTCGTTGCTTAACCTGCTCTCCAGTTTTCCGGTTGCGCGAGGGTGGGCGACGTAGTTCTCGCGTCTGATGAAGAGGATGGTGTGACCCGAAGTCCACGACGAGCGATGTTCGTTCGGTGGTAAACCGACAGCAGCCCTCAACATTTCCCCGAATTCCGATAGACGAGCTGTCTTTTTGGTGTTGAGGTGTTGCTCAGTTTCGTTTGAAGCGACACCAGAGCAGTCTATCCTTCCGTCGAGGCCCTCGAACATGGCGGTTTGGTATCCCAAAGGCACGAGGATTGCGTGGCGAAAACAAACAGGTCCAGCGAAGCTTTTGGCAAACCTCACGCTTGAAAACAAGGCCCGCCACATTTCGTCCAATGCAGACTGGAAAATCATTTTTGAAACAACGATCAGATACTGAAGTATGAGGGTATACCTACTTATGGGCATTAAACATAATTGGTTGAATATTCGGAAGCATTACGACGAAAGAAATCTATCTGCATGATGGGAAGTTAGGAAAAAAGACATATCGACGGTGAGGGTCCCAAACCGCGTACCTCGGTTTGTGACGTTACAGACTTCTTGACATACTTCATTATTTCCTTAGAAAACTAGTTAACGTATTTTCTCGGAAACTACCTTGATTTTTTTCTCTGTTGGCAGAATATTCTATGTAAATTTCAAGCGATAAAGTTGGCTTGTTTTTTCTTCGAAAAAATAAAATAGGAGCAGAAATGTTGAAACATCACAATGAGGGTTCGTGGTTCAGGAGTTAATGGGCTGATGGCAGATCGCTAGCGAAATTGCAAAAATGTAGATTTCGATTGCGACGTTTCAAAATCTCCGCTCCTACATTATTTTTCATAAGGAGATTGAACCGCGACATCATGGCTTGAAAGTTTTACAGAAAATTTTCCACGCAGAGAGGAAAAATCACTAGAAAGCTGGAGTTACTTCGTGTTTCACTCTTCATATCAACTACATTCTAGTTATTTTTCCTCTCGGCGAAGGAAATATTTTCCCAAATTTTTTTCCCGAGGTAGACCATCCGTGCCCCCTTGTAAACTCGAGCGTATCCGTCAAAACTCCCATCCAATTTTACATAAACACCCCAACACATCGACCTCTCTTTGAATATGATCGCAGGTCATGCAGAGATGCACATTGAAATAAGTAATGTTGATAATGACGTTCCAATAAAACCAATTTCGCTCAACAGCTGTTTGTTTGTTGTATGAATAGAAATGAGAGCGCATCGGTTTACTCATCCTCTACAACAATGAGTGCGCCAACTTGACGTGTCGACGTGCCGCGCTGCCGTGTTATCGAAGAGAGCAGAAACGCCAGATTTTACAAATTCGAATTTTCCTTTCCGAATATGGACTGACCTTATTTTAATGAACAGATGCAGTTGAAATAGCATTTCGTTAGTTTTTTTTTTTTTTTTTTTTTTTTTTAAAAAAAACGAAAGCTATGAGAAAGTAGAAAGTGCGCAGGAACTGACGTAATTCCAGACAAAATACCAGTAAGTTTCCATTATTTCGCAAACGGGCTATAATGCTGTCTCGCGTAAAATGGTACCCTTTTCTACCAATTCCTACGGTTAAAAGTTGTTTATGTGTCCAAAATGTAACCGAGCAAACATGTAGAACATGACACCTGCTGCTGTCTTGCCCAACATGGAAAAAATTCCCATTCCGCACAATTGACGACAATATTTGTCGAATTCCAATAATTTGAACAATTTCTAGGGGTCTTTTTGATAGTTACAATTTCACGAAGATCGGAAGATTTGCTCAATAAAAATTTTCGCTGAGACGCAACTTGTTCTATTTTCTCAAAATGTTACTCCCGCAATCTTTGCTCTTTTCGGTGGCAAGGCGGTAAACAAGCGACCACGCCGCGTTTACGCATATAACGATGTGAGATAAGCGGCAGCGGCGCCGAAGCGCCTTCATTTCTCCGTGTATGCAACCTGGGCATCCATTGAGTACGAATAGTTGCATCCAAGCGCCTGTGCAAATGCTGCAGCCGATTTGTCGGCCGAAACGCTGAGGAAAAGTGTTTCGTTCTTCTCCGTTGCAATTTCATTCACAGTTGAAAGGCCATGAATTTATTTAGAGACGATAGTTCCGGTGCCGCTAGTGTGGGACAGGATATTTCATAACGGACGTATATTTTCCCATCGTTACGTTGAATAGATTAGGTAAAGAATTCTTACATTTATTCTGGATAAGGAATCGTCGTTCCCCCAACAGAAGAACGTAATTCCAATCCAAGGTGCAATTTTGACTCAAAGCAATTCAGTTTTTTATGACTCCGCAATTTTCTACTTTAATTTGCTGTTACTGTAAATGTGTAGAAGAAAAACTATGGACACTCTGGCTTAAAAACGCCCGACAGTTGTCAAATAAAAATACAATGTGTGTGCAGGCTCAAGGGTAGTTGAATTTTTTTGTCTGGGAAACGACAGAGTGCGGCTGCATACGTTTCGGCAAATGGTTTCTCATTTAAACTGCCGTGCTGAGGAAAAACGCCGTATGAACATTCGAGAGTTGTCAAATTTCCATTGATAAAATGTTTATTTTTGAGGGAAGTTATGAACATTTTTCCGAGAAATTTCCAAGAACTGTAGGTAAAATTGCGAATAAAATTATCTGAAAAACTGGAAGAAAATTATTTACAAATTTTCCCAAAAATTCGTGATTAACCAACGAAAATTTGGCAACACTTGAAGGCTAATACGGCGTTTTCCTTTCACGCGGCAGTAAAATCCAAAGCCCTGACGCTCTTTCAATTGAATAGACCATTTTTAAATACAGGAGTTTTGAGGAAGCAGGCTTCCTAGTGGTCAACCGTTAGCGAAACAGCCTTCAGAATTATTTGCAATAACAGATTTTCACTTTATACCTGACAATGACCATCCACGAACACCACATGAGGCCGTCTAGGTAGGCCGACAACTCTAGAGGCCACGTATGCACTGTACCAATCTGTCAAGGTATGAAAAAGGTTTGCGTATTCGAAGCGTGTCACCAAGAGTGTCGGTTCCTCGACCCACTGCAATGAGAGAACACAACCAACAAATTACTAAAATTAAAACAGTCAAACGTGTGACTCTGGTGAAAGTTAGGTCCCTTTTAAGTAATTTAACTTCGTTAAATGCCGAGCACGGATCATAATGGAGATGTTGCATGTGTGAGGAGTTTGCGATTTGACTGTTGCTTCTTATGTAAAAGTTCGCGAGAAACATGATGGTGCCACTGGTTTTCTCTAAAATCAACTCCCAAGCTCAAAAAAAGCTCTCGAGTTGAGGCCAATATGAAGGAGATATCCCACCCTATCCTGAGAGTCCACCTCTACATTAAGACAAACTCTCCATGCAAAGATAGGGAGCAAATACATTAGCAGGGTTGCCGTGTTTTCAGTTTTAGAGTCCCCAAATAATGTAACAGCCCTGTCAATATATTTCCTCCCTATCTTTGCATGGAGAGTTTATAGTCTTGGTGTAGAGGTGGACTCTCAGGATAGCGTGATATCCCCTCCACTTTGACCTCAACTTGAGAGCTTTGTTTGAACTTGGGAGTTGATTTCAGAGAAAACCAGTGGCACCATCGTGTTTCTCGCGAATTTTTACATAAGAATCAACAGTCAAATCGCAAATTCCTCACAGATGCAACATCTCCATTTATGCGGATCATTCGGATCAAAATCATACTCTTCATCCGCAAACCCGGGAAGTAAATGATTTATTTTTTGTACTCTGATAGTACAAAAATGGACAGTTTAAAAGCTCATTTTTTAAAATTTTTCGGGGACCCCTCGGACCCTCTTTCGGCCATGCAGGGAGTAGGTACCTTCCAGAGCCCACCCGCGGAAGAGGGAAGGGGGGCAATGAGAGAATTTCCCTGTTTTCTAATTTTTTCTGGGGACGGCCCTGAACAAATAAAGTAAAGAAAATAGAATAAAACAGAGACCTCCAAACCATGCTGAAGTGGCTTACAAAATAGAAATTATTTCCCAAAAATCCCTTTTTGTTTCACAATCAATGGAGTTTCAGCAAAAACAGAGAGATTTGTAGTTCACTCGACTGTTTTGATGACAAATCTCGTGAGAGGCGAGGGGACGGTGATCATTATTTTTCCGAAAGTCAACTCTCAAGTTAATAAAAAAAAAATCTCAGTGTGAAGGCCGCCATACCGGTATTTTGCGTAATTGTGGGAGGCCTCACCTCCACACTCTTGATCAATCAAAGTCTCTATGAAGAGGTAGGACTGGATACATAAGCGGGGTTGCCATTCTTTGAGCTTGAAATTGAACTACATTTTGCGATGAGGACTTACTATCTCTAGCTCATTCATAAAATCACCTATCTCGACGGTGTAAGTCGAAAATCACATAACTCGGTTCGCAACGTCGCAGACTTCTTTTCATACTTTATTTTTTAAACGGAAGACTACTCAACGTCAATTCTTCAAAACTGACGCGATTTTTCCTGTCTGTGCGAAGAAAATTCTGCAAAAACTTCAAGGAATAATGTCAGTTTGTTCTCCTTTAAAAGAATAACGAGGAGACGGAGATTTTCAGACACCGCAAACGAGTTATGTGATTGCCAACTTGCACCGTCGATCTGCATTGGGCAACTAATTGCACTATTGGTTGTCTCTAACATGAGGCAGGAATAGAAGTTCCTTTGCTGCCAAATATGGTCTAATTGTCATCTAGACTTTTGAGCCTCTTTACAGGTTGGTAACCAAGCTCATGCCTTTATTTCCCCTGGTAAAAATTGGCAGTAGAATCTGTGTTCCAAACCATTCCTAACATGTTGGAGCGCCTGCAATTTTGTATGATACTATACAATACCTCTGGTGTGAAATAGTTGCTTCAAGCGCCGTGGTACGCTGCGGCTCGGCGCGGCGGGCGGGCAGCGCATTGGCGCCTTCAAACCTAACATGGATACTTCACGCATTGCGCAATGCGTGAAGTATCCCTGTTAGGTTTGAAGGTGCCAGTGCGCCGCCGCTCCACTTTGTGTTAGGCTCTAATATTTAATCTCGTGGAGTCAGCCTTTTTCAACTCATGACTTTGAAATGTTTGCACACTCTGTATGGATTATTCTCATTTTAATTGATGAAAAAAAAATATGTAGTAAAGGAAAATGTAATGTGCGTTTTGTAAATATTAAGGTGGTTCCGTATCAAACTTAATGATCTCCAAAGCACACGAATTTTTACACAATTTCTTATAGCCTTTATAATCGATGGCGAAAAAGCAACAGCCAGGCGATAAAGTGAAAAGCCCGGCGATAGGAACTATAGCCCGGCTGTATAATTTTTATCGCTTCGTGTACCCGGCCGTATAATTTTTTCCACTTTCTACAGCCAGCTATATGATTTTCTATCGCCTTCTTCAGTCGGCTATAAGAACCCCTATGGTATTCTGAAACGCAGCTCCTTTCACCAATTTTTACCAGGGTCTATCTCTGTATGCAGAATTTGACGGAATTTCTCAAAAAATTAACGAAGCCTCACCCTCTTCAACACACGTCGTGAACTTTGACCACTTATAAGTTTCTAAATTCCATCATGAAAGTCCCTAAACTCTAAAAAAACTTACTTACTTCAGAACACTGAAACTTATTTGCGTCAACTAAACGAGTGGAGGCCATCAATGCTCTCATGGTATGTCGATTCTCACTACCTCTGGGTAGATATTTGTTCAGGAACTCTTCGTTCACGAGATTTCTTCCGGCGCGAGATCCATCTGAGACGCCAATCTCAAAAGCCCCGTCATGGAACACCGGCAGTTCGTCGTCTTCTTTCCTACCCATGACGGACTCCAACGACTCGTCGCCTTTCGACATAGAGATCTTCTCCGGGTCCATCCGGATGCCCCCGCCTTCGCAGACCGAGGTCTGTAAAGTCGCACTGTAGAAGCACCTGAACCAACCGGCAGAACTCTCTTCGAGGACGGTGATTTGCTGGGTGAACCCATTCCCGAAATACCCCTCGCAGGATCCGACGGGCACATCGGGGGTCGGTAGCCAGGGACGGAATGAGGGTAGAGATGGCCAACGTTTGAGCGATGAAGATATCGGGGTTTCTGTATCATCTTCGGCTGAGCGAGATCGGAAGAAGTAGTAGATGGTCAATAATTTCAGGGTGAACAGAAAAAGGATGATCTTTCGCCTTTTGACCGGATTGTTCATGGTGGAAACGGCGGGTGGATCACATTGCTTTCGTTTTTCATCCCTCCGTCTCCATTTTGATTGGTTTAGATTGTTGGACTGCTTCAACTTTTACACTGAAGCCCCGACGGGATTGGCTGGTTTTCTTCTCTCGGCTCCTCATCAGTGTTGCGATTTCTATACGAGACAATAATACCATCATGTTATTTACCTCTTAATTTGTTACAGCGAGGTTCTTCTTCTTCTAGCCATACATAGAAATGTCATACGGTAAAAGACATATAACGAAAACGGCTAGGTGCTAAAGCAGGTCAAGAAATTTTCTTGAAAACAAAAATAATACGTTAGGGGAAAGGGGTAAACTACTCCCCTCGTATTTTTAACCTTGTAAGCTCATTTTAGTGTTTTCATTTTTTGTTTTTCACGGTTGAAATTTCAAACTCTTAAAAAATGTTATTGTTCTTTCTTATTTTTAAAATCAATGATAATCTCATAGGAGCCGTCCATAAATTACGTGACGCTCTCACNGGGGGGGGGGGTCGCGGAAAGCGTTACACCATTTTGCTTTTACGTGCTGAAGGATAAGGACCTACACCTTAAAAGCGTTACAAGAGGGGAGGGGGTCAAAAATGCCGAAAAAAAGTGCTACGTAATTTATGAACGGCCTTTTAAGCTTAAAATAACTGAGTCGACCACAAGTAGATCCTTCATCAGTGTCTATATTCTTCTTCCTCGGGTACCCTGAAGATTTCTCGTCGATTACGGCAGATTTTCCCGAAAATGGATCCGATTTTGGTCCTGATTTTAACCGTTTAAAGCCACCTGTATCAAGACGTACTGACTAAAATCATCACATAGGATTCTTAACGGCGAGATCATACGTTAAGATTCTTGTCGTGTTTGAATGTCACTGATTATTTTTCAAATCCTTGATTGATAGTGTTTTGACTTTAAGCTACCACGGATGCCAATTCTTTTAGTTCCAGTTTCTGTCTCTCATGAATGGCAATTCCATCAAATCCGTGCCGCAATAATAAATTTATAGTTTTTTTTACCAATATGGCAGAGTGAAAAGTGCCAATAACGCGCGGAATGAGCCCAGAAAGTCACCAAGTAAGGCACACCTGTTATTAAGCAAACAAAGGATGGTGCTTGTCGGCAAGTTGCAGTTTCAAGCAACGATTATTGGTTTGCGCTCAGAGGTTTGTGAGGCACTCCATTAAGAAAGCTAAGATAACCGTAGTGACACCAGTTTTATAACTACGTATATAGCTAGTTGTGTACGTGCACAAAAATGTGTGTGTTTTATTTTAGATTTAGATAAATACTTATCGATGAATAATGTCATAATATGCTTATATGCGATGGCGATGTTGTACATTCCTGTCCATGCTTCTCTCCTTTTAAAGAAAACGGAGCAGCGGTTTTTCTTGAAACTCTCTGTGAATTTCCATCATTGGCTCAAAAATACTTCCACACAATTTCAAAGATACATTTTATTCGATTATTAAACAGGGTTCTGGAGAGCCTGTCCCCCCTCTCCCCCACCCCAAGGCTGGTACTCCCTTCCCCTCCGCCCGGGCAAAATTAATGGACGTTTGGCCCCCACAAAATTTGTCTAGTTACGTTTGTGGTCCCCTATCAAAACAATTAAACATAATCGGCGATTTTTAAACATTGCAATGGCGGTGGTGCGTATTTTTCGACTTTAGCCATCCTTAGGTATTTACTTTTAAGCTGCCAATGAAGTATTTGCATGAAAAGATATAATTTCTCCATGAGTACAAAACGTTTTATCAGCTGCATTTACATAAGTTTTGTGCAATTTTTTGTTTCATTTATATTCATTTTCAAAGGGCCCAATAGATTACTGATTTCTCTATAGTCTTGATGGATATAACTGTTTTTTCAATAGTCAGACTTTAGCCATGACAGAGCACACTAGATAGTCGCCATTTACTAATATTACATTTTCTTTCCGTTAAGTACGAGGAAAAAACCATTCGTGGGTTCAGCTAGGTATCATTTAAACTAAAAAATGACACCAAAAATGTTCTTCGTGAGAGTGAAGGTATGGAATTCCACCATCATCAATCATTTTCTATAAGCGGACCTCTTATACCTATCCGAACCGATTTGTTTCCGTATTTTGAACGCTGCCCATTGGTATGCCATTGAGGTATACATTAAAGTGTTAGATTTTCTTAATCGTCTTAAAATTGAGAGACTAGGTAATATGTCAACAGTGAACTCCCAAACCACGTATCTCGGTTTGTGACGTTGCAGAAAAATGTACTTTATTTTTTAAATGAAAAACTACTCAACAAAAATGTTTAAAAACTTGCATGATGTTTTTTCTGCATGCGAAGATTTGTTCTCTTTCAGAGAAAAAGAATAGGAAAGGAGCGGTTTTGAAACAGTGAAAGCGAGATACTTGGTTTGGAGGTATTAGTGTCAATGTATTCTGCTTGCAATTCTGCTTTTTTTCTTTGAGAAGCGAACCTGCGTAATTGCTTAAAATTTTCTTGATTTTTTTTTTGTCTGTTAGCAGAATATGCTGAATGAATTTCAAGCAATGAAGTTGGCTTGCCCCTCTTTAAAAAGATAAAATGGGAGCGGAAATATTGAAAAATTGCAATGGAGATATGTTGTTTCGCAATTTGGCTTTCGATATTGAAGTTTGAAAGTGAAGTTGGATTTGTTCTCACAAAAAACAATTAAGTACCCTCGAAAATGTAATAACAAGAGACGTACTTATTTTTTAACGTCGACTTCGTGGACACGTGTGCACGTCTACTGTTTCTCCACAAATAATTCAGTTCCAATTATTAATTTTACCAACAAAGTAACGCATTTGAAGTTATAAAACCTAGAATTTCACCCTTTTTTAAAAGCTACGAAGAAAACAGTGTTTTCTCGTGATATGAAAAGCATAGGAAAAAAAGGTAGTAGAATGTCCATAATGAAGTCTCATAATCGGACGGGATTTCAAAAGCAACCAAGTTCTTCACCTAATAAAATCCGACAGACCAATAGAGATCGAACGATACATCCTCAATAGCGCACGATTGATATTAAATGGAACACCGTACAATCACAGATCACCACATTGATTTGTCTGCCCCACAAACGACCGTTGAGAAAGAGAGGAAGAAAACGAATAAAGAGTACCGAAGGTAATGCACGATGTAGGTCAAAATTGGGCTAAAAAAGTATCTGAGGTAAACAGTTCGCCGTACACATGTTTATCTAGCAGATAATTATGCGACACACCGTAATGAATGTTGTTGGTTCCGTTTTGGAATTGGGAGGAAAAGCGAGTCACCTGGTGCTTGATCGTGGTTCCCTACAATTGGTGAATCGTGCTTCGCGGTTCAGCGCAGGAAATTTTTTGCGGAGTTGCTAGATCATACTCAGAAGAAGCAACATTATTTTTGTGGCTCCACAATAGTCTATTATCAAAAACCGGCAGAGCAGCATTTGCTTTCAGCGATTCAAAATTTTAATAGGTAGGCGGATCCATACACTTCGAACAGGGGAGGGCTGAAAGCCCCCCTCCCCAGCAAATTTTCGAAATTGTATAGCTTCGTGAATAACTACCACAACTGAACATTCATCCTTCTTCTTTCCTCCGTTCATTCCTTTTCTCTTTCTTCCCTTTTTCTTCCTCATAGACGTGCCGCCCCCCCTCTATGCACCCTTCCCCTTAGATCCATCTACCTACGTTTTTGGATGATGGTAAACTTTCGACGGTGAAATTGCGGGAAAGCGTATCTCCTTCATAGCGTTGTAAAATCTCCACCTCCACTTTATTTTCTCGAAGGAAAACGAACCAAAACTTTTGCTGGAAATGTTCGCAGAATTCTCTTCATAATTACAAGGAAGAAAAAGCAGGGGAGTTTTCGAGGAATGACATTGAGTATTTTCCCTTATTTGAAAAATGAAGTAAGACCAGATTCTCGCGGCGTTGCAAACCTGGATACGCGCTTTTGCAGTTTCGCCGTCGATTCTTTTCGCTTGATGAGTGTTGACAAACGATATGAAAGTCGGTGTAGGTAGATCCAGCGCTCTATACTCTTGGATCTTGGATAGGGAGAGAGGTGCTGATGCCAGGTGGAAAAAGTAGAACTAATTTACTCAAAATCATCAAATACAAAAGTGTCAACGAAATCCTCGCATTGTTGAAATTTTTCTCTTTTCTCAACTACTCTCGTCTCAGTTGTTTCCTTTCCTTTTTTCTTTGTCGTTGGTTTTATTTTGTTTACAACAGGAGTGTAAAGGCAATCATATCCCCTTTCAAGTATCTCATCTGATGCACACCACGCGAAGTTAATCATAGCGCCTGGATGCAACTATTAGTGTTCTAAGGATACCCGTGTTGCATACATGATGATTAGAAGGCGCTTCGGTTGCGGCACGGTTTGCATCATACATGGATGAGCCTGACTGCTTTGCACGTTGCCTGATTTTCGTTCGTGTTTTATTTCTTAACCCAATAATACCTTAAAACTTATGACACAAGTTTGACTGCATAATATTTCAACAAATCTTCAAAAAATGAAAAAAAGAAGAAAAAAAAGAAAAGAAACTAAGCAACGTCTTTTAACACGGTTAGGCTGGCTCTAGTTTATGCTGTCTATGTTTCATTGCCGAGTTATTGTGCTTTGCCGATGTCGATAACGCCCATAAATATTGGAGTTATATAGCCCTGGTAAAAATTGGTGATAGGAGCTGCGTTCAAAATACCATAGGAGTTCTTATAGCCGACTAAAGAAGGCTATTAAAAATCATACAGCTGGCTGTAGAAAGCGGAGCAAATCATACAGCCGGGCCATACGAAGCTATAAAAAAGTATTCAGAGGGGCTATGGTTCCTATCGCCGGGCTTTACACTTTATCGCCATTGGCTATAAAAGGATATAAGAAATTGTGTAGAAATTTGTGTGCTTTGGAAATCATTAAGTTTGATACGGAACTACCTTAATATTTACAAAACACACATTATATTTTCCTTTAAAACATTTTTTTTTTCATCGATTAAAATGAAAATAGTCCACACAGAGTGTGCAAACATTTCAAAATCATGAGTTGAAAAACGCTGACTCCGCGAGATTAAATATTAGAGCCTTACACAAAGCGGAGCGGCGACGCACTGGCGCCTACAAACCTAACAGGGATACCTCACGCATTGCGCAATGCGTGAAGTATCCCTGTTGGGTTTGTAGGCGCCAGTGCGCGTTTCGCGCTCTCTGCCCGCCCGCCGCGCCGCAGCGTGCCACGGCGTCTGAAGCAACTATTTCACACCAGAGGTAATGCACATTATCATAAGAAATTGAAGGCGCTCCGACATATTAAGAATGACAGGCATCCTTCAAAAGTACGGAGCTTTCCTCGCAAAATAAATCAAGATACTGCGGCAAAAAAAAAGAGAGCGGTAGTCCAAAAACTAACTACGTCCTATTATCCGTATTTAGTGACTTTTAGCATAAACTTTATCGTCTGGCTGTTGCTTAAACGCCATCGGCTATAATAAGCTATAAGAAATTGTACAGCCGGCTACAGAAGCTATTGGAAATCTTACAGCCGGCTTTATAGGTCTATAGTATTTTGGAACACACATTCTAATGCCAATTTTTACCAGGGCGGTTCGAAAAACATAGGCACGAGAAACAACCATTTAAAATTCTAATCCGTCATATTCATGGCACAAGATTGCTTGTTTACACTATTATTTTAAGCCCCTTTTTGGCTTAAAACGGGATTAAAATGATCACAACGTTTTTTAAGAGCTCTGTAGAGAAGTTCCCGTTTACCAAAATCCGATTTTTAGATACAGCACGATAAGAACAGCTGCATACTGGCAATAATTTTGATTTTATGGACCTATTTTCCCATGGAGGTCACAAATAAAAAAAAATTACCTCCAACTGGCATCCTGTGGTGAAATTTTCTGTCTCACTCTCGCTTGACTCATCTGCATGCACAGATAGGAAAATATGAAGGTAGGCCGACACGCATCACCATTTCTCATTTGACGCGCGCGACCAAGTTCAAATGCGCTCTTCGCTAGACAACCGGTGAGCAATAAAAAGATTTCTCGGGGTTGCAGCCTGCAGCTCGCCTACATTCCAAAATGAGGAAGCTCAATAGTTCAAATGAAGTATGAATGAGACTCAGCAAGGTACTTGCGACTTAATAAAAAAAAAAAAAAAAACTGCACGGCTCTAAAATTGGTATGATTAACTCTTTTCTCCTCCCTCCAGTGATTTCAGATGGTTCAATCGATGACGATACTCCAGGACTAAAAATCTCAGCCGCAATGTTTCAATTTTCACGGACGTTTTATTTAAAGTTAAGAATAGATCAACATTATGACTCAAAATGTCAACGGAATATGATAATTGGATGCTAGAGAAGATTGTAGTTTCGTAACGCGTGCCCTTTGAAAAGTAAAATATGCACGCGAGAGGGAATTCATTAAACCATGCAACTGAAATATCTACTTTGATATGAGTTTAGACGTAGAGATGTAAAGGGTGGTTAAAATGCACTGTGGCAGAAAGGGAACAGAGTTTTTTTCTTTTTTTTCTCGACTCTTCGTTGATCAAAATGTACAGAAGTAATGTAGGAGTACTAATTCATCGATGCTCGATGCTGCTTTTCGATTCTTCGATTATTTCCGAATTGATTACGCCAATAAAAGCATATTCGTGTGTGTAGGGTGCGGGTGGCCTGCCTGCGGCCCGATTATTGAAACTATGTCAGCCCGACACGACAAGACATAGCCCTATCTCAACCATGCAGTGTATCGCAATTCGACGTCTTTTTTCAGTCATCGGTCCGCCGGTTAGTCCCTCTGTCAATCGCCTGCGGATGCCAGGGGGTGCGACTGGCTGCATATCCCCGTAACAAGCGAACAGTAGTTGCTGTAACGCGGTTTTCTCGCCGCTTTCGAAGCAAACTAAAAATAAAATAGACAAGACGTTCTGCGACAAACAGACCCCTGTTTCCATTGAAAAAAAAGGAAAAAAAAGAAAGAAAAAAAAAAAAAAAAAAAACACGGGTCTCTTTCTTCTAAACTTGATCCATTGTAACTCATAATCCTCACACAAGTAGGTCGTACCATTATCTCATCCCGCCCACTTTGCTTTGCGGCTCACTACTAGTGCTAGTGAAAAAGAGGATACGACGTCCGCGTCACGAATGCGGCGCACAGTGGATCAAGTCAATAGGGGAGCTCGGACAAAATTTGGAAACTTTAAACGCTTATAACTCAGCTCATACAAAACTTTGAGGTTCCGAAGGTGGTTTCGTTGGTTTCCTCATAGAATTTTCTTCTAGGAGCAACCCTTAAAATTTAAATTGTAACGGAATAAACATCAAAAATTGAAGTTTAGTCAAAATTTCATGTCCGACCTCTCCGATTAACTCGATCCATTGTGCGGCGCGAGAAAACAATGGGTCAGTTGCGCGTGTCCCAGAATCAAATTTTGATGTTTAGGCCTCACAGATTTAGCAGAAGGCAATAAGATTTAAGAAATTGCCAAGTTTTTAGACTCAACGTAAACGACTCCCCTCGCAAATCACGGTGGGATACATACGTCATTGGCAGCAGAAGTATATTTACCTACCATGATTTTGCTCTACTCCGTTGTTGATGCCGTGCGTGGTAAATACAAACAGTGCACTCATTCGACTCATTGTAACTCTATCAAGGTGGTAGAAGCAAAGACATAAAGACGGAGTGCTCGTATCTAAAAGCACGGGGAAAAAGTGAAGCTAGGTTCGGCGCTGCGCGTTTGTGTGAGTGTGTAAATGAGCGCGGGAATCCATGGCGGCAAACGGAAATTTGATTTGAACTTGTCCTCTTGATTTTTCCTTATTTCTTCTTCGAAACGTGTTTTAAATGCTTAAAACGATTATATTAAGAAAGTTCGGTCTGCGTCCTAATATATTACACCTACTTTTGCTCGGTAACAGGCAGTAATCTCAGATAAAGTTAGTTTTTCTTCTGCTTATGGTGGTTCTGCAGGTTCAAACAGGCCGTTACAGTTCTAGATCTACGTTACTCCCAAATGAAATCAGTCGGTCGACGACGGACCGAAACTAACCTAAAGTTAATAAAATATGAGTGTGTACCTGAATTTGGGCAAAAATCAACCTAAAATACTTTGTTTCCGCAATTTTATTTATTAGTTCCCGCCCTACATTTGAATTCAAACTTGTCCCGATTTCGCCGCCAATCCTCTAGCCAATAGTAGAGGTGATTGAAAAGAAGCTCTAGAAGCTTCATTTTTTTCTTTTAGTGCTCCGTCTTTATGTCTTTGGGTAGAAG